CATTCCCTTCATTCCTTGGCGGGTGTTAGCTAGCAGTTGCGGTTTCCGTTGCACTGAATCTAAACCGTTGTTGGAATCGCCGCGAACCATATTTCCGACACGCTGTTTGGTTCATTGACGGTGGCGGCCAGGCCACCGACCCCGTCCAATCCATTTGAGCCAATTCAAATTCCGATGACGTATTTCGAGGAGGTCGTCATTAACGACGGTGGCCGCACCAGGGACGTCGAGCGCACTCGCGACGGCGGAGAGTACATCAAATTGAGGTGGGACTCACTGCCCGAAGCCACGGCCACCAGCCGGAGAAGATCGTGTCTCTGTTATTGGGTTAAATCCGCCCTGTGCTTAATATGTGTGGCCCTTCTGGCTCTCGCTGCTTTCAAATGGGTTTGCCCCTTCGTTGTAGAAAAGGTTTCCTTTCAAATACCTTATGCATTCGGTTAATCCACCAGAGTTCCGTTTGTATGTTTTTTTGTAATGTAATGTCTTTTTATTGTGGAACATTATATATGAATTACAATTTTGAATGTTGAAACACTATTCCGTGGGTGACGTTACTTTTTGCTTCAGGTGATTATTCCGATTATAACGTGGGAGAGCAACAGATTCAGCTATCCCGTGTTAGCTGTTGTATTGTTTGGTTCTATAGCGCTTTTCCCTACCCTGTTTTTGCCTTCCTCGCCTTCTATGTGGGTGGCTGGGATGAAATTTGGTTATGGCTTTGGATTCTTGCTAATAATTTCTGCAGCACTTGTGGGAGTTTCACTCCCTTTCTTCATCGGTTCAATGTTTCATCGTAAAATTAATGTACATTTCTTGTAACTTTAGTATAAGTTGGTATCTGTCTTCATGTGTTCACGTCACATGCTAATTAGGAGCCAACATTCCATGGTTCTTTGCTTTGCAGGTGTGGTTAGAAAAATATCCAAAGAACGCTTCTGTTCTAAGATCTGCTGGTGAGGGAAATTGGTTTCATCAATTTCGTGCAGTTGCTTTAATCAGGATTTCCCCATTCCCATACATACTGTACAACTATTGTGCCGTGGCAACAAATGTTCATTATTGGCCTTACTTGTGCGGATCCTTGGTAGGAATGGTGCCAGAAATATTTATTTCAATCTATACGTAGGGTCTCTCTCTCTCTTTCATGCACACTTAAGTAGCTATGCTAGGAGTTTGCTTTTCTTATACTTGGCTATTTACATACTTGGATTACTTCTTGTGAATAATCATTGTGTATAGATGTATAAATTATCATGTACATAAGAAAAAATATGTGACCAGCTTTTGCTTACTTTTTGGTGCCCATACCATACTGTGGATTTAGGTTGTCTTCAATTGTAAAATTTCTGTCTGAATTTCAGACCGAACTCAATGATTGTTTGTGGTCTTCAAAGTTTGTCCATTTAACATATCAATACTTGTTGATCCATTTCCATTCATAAATTTTGCACTTTCATCATTGAAACAAGTCCATCTTTTATTGTACAAGTGTCTCTCTGTTCTCAATATTTGCTACTCCATGAAGTTGACCATGGAAAATATATTGTGAAGGTGAATTGATATTTTACCGATGAAGTAGAGATTGTTTTTCTTAGAGCATTGGTATCTTTCTATTCTTATTTAGATTTTCACTTGGATTATACAATACCATCTATTCTATGACTTTGTCTAGGTGTAAGCAAATGATGTGTTTTCATGCATGATATGTGATCTGAATGTGATGACTGACTGGTCACCTGTCGAACCTCTTGTTCTCATAAATAATCCCCCCATGGACACACACCCCAAGCTAAAAATTGAAATTAAAATTCTATCCGACTGTTCTTCATCTTCTTAGATTGTTTGCCATCATGTTATTATTTAAATAAATTCAGTATGCTGTGTTATTAATGAATGTTATGGAGTGTATTTTCTTTTTGTCTTCCTATTTTGGTAAGGGTGTTGGAAAATAAATGCGACTAGGTGAGTATAGATGAGTTATTTGATTCTCAACAGCCAGATATAATAGTAACAGTACTATCTAAATCCTTTGGTTTTGAAAATGCATATTTACTTGCCAGCAATAACATTAATCGCGTGTCAAATCTATGTCAAACTTTTTCTTTTCCCTTGTGCCCTGTCCTCCCCTGGGTCGTTTTGGAAAACTCACATTCACTTGACTTGATCTGCCATTCCTTTACCTAGTTTCATCTTCCTCCACTAAAATCTTTTTATCAGCTAATAGCAGTGATGGTTGCCCTTAACTGATACTTCTATCGTTGCCTCTTGACATGTATTTTATAAAAGATACTAAGATAGGAATTAGGAACTATTGGTGCAAAATATACTCTTGAATTCATTGTCTCCTTGTCTTCCACTGCAGGGGAATTTTGATAAAAACGTTGGCTAATGCTACACATCAAAAGGATACTATATCTGCTACGCAAATTGTCCTCAATGTTGTTGGTTTCTGCGTAACTGTAGCTACAATAATCTTTTTCACAGTCTATGCTAAGAGGCAGCTCAAGGAGTTACAAAAAGAGGAGGATCTGCTGTTGAAATAATGAGCTTACTTTTTGGCTGCACGAGGCAATTATCACTATCTCAAATTGGCACATATTGATGCATGATGCACATTAGAGTGAGGTTTCATTTATTAAGTAAACCTCGTCTATGGGAGTGTTGAACGTCAAATTTAAGAGAAATGTACACTCTCTATTTAGTCAAAATTGATTTAAATTAACAATTTTGTGAGTCGCATATCTTATTTAAAGATCCTCTATCATAATTGTATAGATTTTAATAAACATTAATCAATAATATCAAATGTATCAAAAGGAAGTGTTAAGTGTAAACTTCTCATGTTTTAAAGCCTCACTGCATAACAAACTAACATTACTAACATCGACCTTTCTATTTCTTTTTCCATATGTTGCCTTGTTGCCTACAACATTGTTCTTTGATGGTGCTTCCGTTTAATTTCACTGTGTCTATAAATGAAATGAAATTCCCACTTTTTGGGTGATCGTTTTCAACCCGGCAAGATTCATCTGTGCAAATCCGGTACATCGCTTTTGTTGATTTCATATGATCGATTCATTGTTCTAGACCTCTTCATTTTGGCTTTTTTCTTTTAACCTTTTGTTAGTTATTATGACGGAAAGCACAAGAACCAATAATACAGAAATGATGGAAATGAAATGACACAAGGACTTGTTCATCTCCGCCCTGCCCCCACCCCTACTTAACCCAACGAGTCTGAATTATTTTAGGCTTGTTGGTTTTGATAATGAAAAATGATTCTCACTTTATTTTCATTTACACTATGTTTTTTGTAAATTTTTAAATCAGTGAACAGAGAGAGGAAAGAGAACCAAAGTAGTTCTTTTTCATTAGATGCAAAGATATATAAATGACGTGAAATAATGAGGCGTATCTTCATTTTTTTTTTATCTGAGTTTTAAGAAGTATGACTGAGAGAGCTGGGAGGGAACTCGTTAATGCTACTGTTCTGCTGTATAGTGTGTACAGTATTTTAGGTTTAATGAACTGGATTCAGTTAAATTTTAATTGAATTTATTATTTACTTTCTGCCTCTGATTCACGTGGAATTTGTTGATTTCCGAGTTTGATGAGTTATTAATGTTTCCTGTCTTTTTCCAGCTACATGTTTGTCCACTAATGATCTGATATCTTCATTGGTTTGTCGTATAGGTATAGCTATCACATTCATACCTTTTCTGTTTAGTTGTAAATTACAGATATTCTACGGAAAGAAAAACTTTAGACATTGTGAGTTAAAAAATAAAGGAAAAAAATATTTAGTCCCCTCAAATGTATTCTAATTGATTATCAAAATAAATATTATAAATTTTAATTTTATTATAATTTATTCTTAAACTTTATCACTTTTACAAATAAATACTTTGATTATAATTTTTTTTGTTAATTTTTTTTATAAATTTCTTATATTACATTGAGATTAAATTATTAAGATAAAAAAATATCAATTATTTATTTATTTATTTTAAATCATACTTATTTATTAATTTTTTTGATACATATATATTAGTTTTATTGATATATATATATATATATATATATATATATATATATTTAGAAGAAGAAAAAAATCAAATAAACACTTCTTTTATTGTTTTTATCATTCTTTCTAAACACATATTTTTATTATATTTTGAAGAAGAAAAATGTAACATAAAAAAGAAAAAAATTAATGAATTATTGATATTTAAGATAAATAATTTAACTCTAAACTAATAATATAAAAACTTTGTAAAACCAGTAAATTATCAAATGTTAAAATCAATTAGAATGAAATTAAAGTTGAAAGTGTTTATTTATAAGAAATAAAATTTGAGGGTTAATTAAAACAAAATTAAAGTTTATAATGTCAATCTATAAATCAGATAAAAATTAAGGATTGATTAGGATAAAATAAAAATTTATGATATATATTTTAAAAAAATAAAGTTTAAAATGAGTGATTATTCTTTTTCCAAAAATAAAAATTAGACAAGAAAAGAGCGGTGAAAGCTCAACGGGGAATCGCTAATCCGCATAACATGCTACATAAATGTCATTTAAATTTCCCTAAAAAAAATGTCATTTAAATTATAAGAAATATAAGGATTTAATAATGAATTACAGAATTAGAGATGGGATTTCTAAGAATTAATATTGCCTCCATCCTAATGCTACCGCTCTCATTAATATCCCTCGCTTACACTTTTTTTTTATTATTTTTTTATCGTTCTGTGTGGAATTTCCTTTTCTTAAAATGTTTTCTTTTACTTTAGCAAACTTAGGACATGTTAGAAAATAATATATTTACATTATTGTTTATGTGAGTATATATATATAAAATTGAGTGTCGTACATTGATGTCTCAAATAACATATGGTATACATACACTTCGTAGTATTGTGGATCGGAGTGAGCTATATTGAGTAGTCCTACGTCTCAGATTAAGTGTGGCACAGCTCAGTAGAGCATTTTGTGTCTGTTCTCCTTAGTTGTATTAACCTTTCATCCAAACGTTAGAACTTGGAATGACGCTTATTGAATACATTACACATATGTATGCTTAAAGTGTGTCTTTAACAATTGTCTCAATGTGTTGAAGGCTCTCATTCACTGTTTCACAGTGACATAGGTACAGATTCGTTTACAAATGAAATGGGTATATGATGTGGACTCCATAAACATAAATGTTATTGAACTGTTCATGTCAGATGGCCCTCTCATTTGTTTTCTTTTGGGGAACATATTGGTGCGTTCTCTTTGAGGGTTACCTGCTACCTCATCCTTAAGGTACTACATCCGCAGAGGCACCATCCAAGGATGATAAAGAATTGATTACATTAACATCCCTCTTCTACAGTTTAAGTGATTAATCTATAGAATGTTGAACATGATATGAGTATAATTTCTCTAAACAAAAGAGAGAAGGATCCAAAGGTAGGACAAGACTTGATTAGGAGGGACCACAAGTGATCACATATGCCAGCCATGACTTTTATTATGGTTATTATTACTACTACTTATTAGATGGAAAAGCCTTTGAATTAAATGCTTTTTCAAACCGTGACACGAGGGAAAACTTTTGGAGACGTTGATTTATGCTTACATTGTATGTTGTATGTGTCATTTGCAAAAGTTGTTCTTTTTAACCGTTGATCAAGTAAGAACGTAAGAAAATCTCCCCCTTTACATAAAAAGAAAGGAAAGAAAATTCCCGAACACAAGTGTAGAGATTCTGGCCCCTCTTTACTAGTCAAATGGAAAAGGACAAATTTGAACAAAAGGGAATAACGTTTAAGAGAAGGACTTTTCAGACAATTGAAAAACCAAAAATAGAAAACAAAAATAAAACGTTAAGAATAGGTAATGCAAAGAAGGACCAATCTTTCCTCTACTTAAATCCAACGGCCAAAATCGCCTAACCAACAAGTGAAAGCCGCGTGGCAAGAATCGGATCACCTATGTATTTGTCTACTACTCTGGCTTTGTCTCACTGTGATCGCATTTATGTGGTACGTTAACTGTTGGAATATTCTGCTAATAACTTTTTAATTAATTCAATAATTATTATATCTTTGTTTATATAATTGTAAGACGCCGAGTAAAACAAAAAGACGTAATAACACTATTCGTTAATCAATATAATAATATACTCTAGCCACTAATTTAACGATGCATCTCTATTTTTTATCCGTCAAAAAAACGTCTCTAATTTTTTTAACAGGAAGTTATGCAAGTAAACATTCGGTCCGCTTTTCTCTAAAAGTTCTGAACAAAATGAAAACAATGAAGGGTATTTAATCACACCAACATTTCAAATACGGTTTTCGACTGTGATCAAGTAAATCAATTATTATGAAATTCTTAGTATTTTTTAGTCCAATTTTTAAATATTTAACACATAGTCGAAAGAAGAGTTTTGTTATATGTAATAGTGTTATTTGACTTGAACAAAATGAATAGTTAAACAAAATATGCATGTCAAATATAATTATAATTGAGCGATAAATGAATAATTAGTTAAATCGATACAAAATTTAATATGTTTTTAAAATGAAGTCTCCAATCGGAAATTAATCGCGCTACTAAATGCTTGTGTTAGCACCTCATATGATTAAGTAATGAGATGCTAATTACGACGAATTCCAACGGAAAGTGTCGCGAACGAAACGGATAGATGGAATAAAGCAAGGAAACGGTACTACAGACAAAGAAACACACTCCTTAACTCTTTCTTTTCCACTCACTCTCCTCCTCTTTCTTCAATTTTCTTCCCCAATATTCCTAACCCCTCTTGCGTATTAATTGAGATGGTGTTGGTGACAGCGATAGGGATAGGGATGGTGGTGGCTTGGTTGGTAGGGAAGAATAAATGCCGGGTAAGAGAAAGAGGCCCTACACCACAACACAAGACATGGTGGTGAGATAAGTGTTATGCACAATTCACAAACGCAGATTGGTGTTTCAATGTTTTCATAGTTAAAAGGCTTAGAAAGTGTAGAGAGAGAAAGAGAAAGGTAGTCTCTCATGCACGTGGTTCAGCCTTCAGTTGGTGGCAATCTCTGAATTTATATATCACAGCCTATTAAAAGAAGCTTATTTAATTCTCTCTCACTGTGTCACCTGCTTCCTTTCCAGCAAAGGTACAGCCACCATTTCCATCTTCATTACTCTCTTCTCTTCCCCCATTCCACCCTGCCCTCCATTCCTTCTCTCTCCTCACCCCCAAAGCTCCCATTTTTATGCCACCCCACTAGACCCAAGCCATTTAAAAACACCAAGCGCATCATGGGCATTAATGAATCTTTGTTCTTGATTCCCACACGGAGAACCCAGAAGGAAAAAGTAGGGAGAGGTTAAACGGGTACTGTACTAGTACTTCTTTGGTTACAGAACTTTACTTTATTTTGTTTTTTTTTATCATTTTGGTTTGTTTCATTCTCTCTCCTTCAATTCCAGTCTTCTTAATGAGAATGCTCCCAGTCGGTGATGATGGTGATGTTTTGTTTCTCATTGGACCAATTTTTTCGAAACCTAAAACGTTGTAGCTGAGGAAACATCACCTCAGAATCGCACCCAGTTTGGTTGTGACAGCGATGATGCCAGAGGGGTGATCACATTGTTTCGAGCATGAGAAGACACCGTGGAATTCATCTCTCTCATGCTCTATTGTGCGCCGTTTTCTGTTTTTTTGTGACAGCCTCAGCGGCAACTGAGAGGGAAATTTTGCTTGAATTCAAGGGAAACGTCACGGATGATCCACGCGCCAGCTTGAGTTCGTGGGTTTCAAGTGGAAACCCGTGCCATGATTACAATGGTGTTTATTGCAACTCTGAAGGGTTTGTGGAAAGAATAGTGCTTTGGAACACTAGCTTGGGTGGGGTGTTGTCCTCGTCGCTTTCGGGCTTGAAGAGGTTGAGGATATTGACGCTGTTTGGGAACCGTTTCTCGGGTGGTATTCCAGAAGAGTATGGTGATCTTCACTCGTTGTGGAAGATCAATTTGAGTTCCAATGCTTTATCTGGTTCGATCCCTGAGTTCATTGGTGATTTGCCAAGCATTCGGTTTTTGGATTTATCGAAGAATGGCTTCACTGGGGAGATACCTTCGGCTTTGTTTAGGTACTGCTACAAAATCAAGTTTGTTTCTCTTTCTCATAATAAACTTGCTGGTTCAATTCCTGCCTCCTTGGTGAATTGCTCCAACCTTGAAGGGTTTGACTTTTCCTTCAACAACCTTAGTGGGGTTGTCCCTTCGCGGCTTTGTGACATTTCCGGGTTGTCATATGTGTCGCTGAGAAGCAATGCCTTTTCAGGGAGCGTGCAGGATCTCGTTTCCTCATGCCAAAGTTTGGAACATTTGGATTTTGGTAGTAATAGGTTCACTGATTTGGCTCCTTTCAGTGTCCTTGGAATGCAAAATCTTACCTATCTCAACTTATCGTATAATGGATTTGGAGGACATATTCCTGAGATCAGTTCTTGTAGTGGGAGGTTGGAAATCTTTGATGCTTCAGGGAATTCTTTGGATGGGGAGATTCCTTCCAGCATAACTAAATGCAAGAATCTAAAGCTCTTGGCGTTGGAGTTGAATAGGCTTGAGGGGAATATCCCAGTGGATATTCAGGAATTGCGGGGACTAATAGTTATCAAATTGGGTAATAATTCCATTGGTGGAGAGATTCCTAAGGGCTTTGGCAATGTTGAGCTGCTTGAATTGTTGGATTTGCACAATCTAAACCTCACTGGCGAAATTCCAGATGATATAAGCAATTGCCAGTTTCTTCTGGGGCTGTGAGTTCTGTAACTTTCTCAAACTGCTCTACGTTTTCTTAACCCCTCTGAATAAAATCTGAGTTCATTCTTTTATGTTGCTGCAGGGATGTTTCTGGTAATAACTTAGAAGGCGAGATTCCTCAGACCCTTTACAACTTGAGAAACCTGGAATCCCTTAACCTACACCATAACCAGCTTAATGGAAGCATTCCCCCAAGCCTAGGAAACCTATCAAAGATCCAGTTCCTAGACCTGTCACATAATTCACTTTCTGGCTCAATCCCTCCTTCCCTCGGAAATTTAAATAACTTGACACATTTTGATCTCTCGTTCAATAATCTCTCTGGTGTCATTCCTGATGCAATACGCCGTTTTGGTGCATCTGCATTTTCCAATAATCCTTTTCTCTGTGGTGCTCCTTTAGACACCCCTTGCTTGGTAAATGGAACTATATCACCTTCATCTCCCGGGAAGCCTAAAGTTCTAAGTACCTCAGCAATTATTGCAATTGTTGCTGCAGCTGTAATTCTCACCGGGGTTTGTTTGGTGACCATCATGAATATGAGGGCGCGTGGTAGAAAAAAAGATGATGATCAGATTATGATTGTTGAGAGCACACCTCTTGGATCATCAGAATCAAATGTTATAATTGGAAAGCTGGTCCTCTTCAGCAAAAGTTTACCATCAAAATATGAAGATTGGGAGGCAGGTACCAAAGCATTGCTTGACAAAGAGTCTTTGATAGGTGGTGGATCAATCGGTACAGTCTACCGAACTGATTTTGAAGGCGGCATCTCAATTGCAGTGAAGAAGCTCGAGACTCTGGGAAGGATCAGAAACCAGGAGGAATTTGAGCTCGAAATTGGACGACTAGGCAACCTTCAACACCCTAATCTAGTTGCTTTTCAAGGCTACTATTGGTCATCTTCAATGCAGTTGATCCTATCAGAGTTTGTCCCAAATGGAAATCTCTACGATAATCTACATGGGTTTGGCTATCCCGGAACCAGCACTAGTAGAGGCAATAGGGAATTATATTGGTCTAGAAGGTTCCAGGTAGCACTGGGAACTGCAAGAGCCCTTTCATATCTCCACCACGATTGTAGACCTCCAATCCTTCATCTCAACATGAAATCCTCTAACATACTCCTAGATGACAAGTATGAAGCTAAGTTGTCTGACTATGGATTAGGAAAGTTGCTTCCCATTTTGGATAACTATGGTCTGACCAAATTCCACAATGCTGTGGGATATGTTGCACCAGAGTTGGCTCAAGGGCTTAGGCAGAGTGAGAAGTGTGATGTTTACAGTTTTGGAGTCATTCTTTTGGAACTGGTTACTGGGAGGAAGCCTGTGGAAAGTCCAACCACAAATGAGGTGGTGGTTTTGTGTGAATATGTAAGAGGCTTGTTGGAGACTGGCTCAGCTTCAAATTGCTTTGACAGAAATTTACTTGGCTTTGCTGAGAATGAATTGATTCAGGTTATGAGATTGGGGCTAATTTGTACTTCGGAGGATCCTTTAAGGAGACCAAGCATGGCTGAGGTTGTTCAGGTCCTTGAGTCCATTAGAAATGGAGTGGAATCCCATTAACTAGTTAGAGCTTTTCCATGCAGCTCAGAATTGAAGTGATTGCTTAATTTGTTAAATTCTTCCTGGAACAGAGGTATCACATTTAGGCATTCAAGAATACATGGAAGGAGATTTGGATCGGGATCGAGTGTGTATACAAGAGGGCAAGAGATAAGGATGTTATTTAGGCATTCAAAACGTAAAAAAGACGAAGGACAAAAATTCTTTTGTATTCATTTTTATATTGCCATTATTTTTTTTTTCTTCATAAAATTTGTAACATCTGCAAATAAAAGGCATTTGTTTATTTCATTACTTTGTGCCCATGATTCGTTTCCAACTTCTTTTTCTTTTGGCTTCTGTTTCATTTCATCAAGTACACAAGAAGATATGTGAAAATGTTGAGAAAGCATGGTACTATCATGCGACGCCTTTGTTTTTAATCTTATCCTTTTCCTCTTTCTTTGCCTTTTTCCCCCAAAAGCGAATGGGTGCCTGTCATTTCAATTTTCACCCATATTATACCCCACACAAATTGTTTTTCTTCATATGAAGATCATCTCTAGTGGCTCAGTTTGTAGCATTAACCGACGCCATAGGCAGTTTCTGCAATACCCATTTGTCAAATTGTCACGCACTAAGCAAGCAAAACCACTTTTGCTTAGGATGTGTATGCCTCTAGTTTCTATTAACATTAAGTTTGATCCGTACTCGTCGTGGAGGAGCAGGCTTTGTTAAATCGACTTCATAAATCCCTGAGGAGATATGTCATCCAAAAGCTCATTAATATTCAACAGTTGAGCAAGCAAGATCATTTAATCAAATTCTGCCCTCAGGTTTGCAATCATCATACCAAATAATAAATAATACAACAGGACCTTCCTGCTGAAATATACAAAGCTTGAATGGATATGTGGATTATCTAATATAAAGTTTATGAAATAAAAGCAAATGTAAAAAATGAAAAATGAAAATTATTATCATGCCCGTAACCAAATTTGAGTCTTGCAACGTGTTATTATCTTTCCCTTCTTTTAACACTTTTCTCATCGTAAGCGGATTAACTTGATAGTATCAGTGGTGCTGCGGCTTCTTCGGGTCAACATTAGTATTTCACTGTTTCTTCTTTGATTGAACCTTAAGCCATTTCAGTACTATTCTGAGGACAGCAGAAATGATCTACCAGGCTCCGACTATACATTGGAATATTTCATAAATGCAATGGTTATAAAATTACAATTTACAACCTATCATTTTGAAGCAATTCCTAAAAAAAAACACCATGTCCATGTCATCCAACTACCCCTTGGTAATTGATTATTATTCCTACTAGGATGATGCTAGCTTCTCCAAAAGAATAAAGAATCAACAAACCAACTAAATTTGCAGAACTAATTGACCACATGTCATCTATGTCACTTTGTGGCATCATAAATTCTCTGAATCCGTTCCATTACTACACAAACATCCTTTTCGGTCCATGTGGCAAAACAAAAACGAAACCACCCAGGTTCAATACAGTGACATGAGGATCCCGGGGTAACATTGATCTTAGAAACATTCAACAATCTATCCCAGAGCTCAAGCTCCCCTTTCTCATTGTAAGAGCGGATCAAGCTGCTCATGTCAGCCCAGCAGCAAAAACCACCACTGCTCCTGGTGCATTCAATACCCAACTGCTTCAACCCTGCCACAAATGTATCATACATTTTCCGCAGCCTCAGTTTGTTAACCTCAATAAACTTTTGCACAAAACTTGTGTCTGAAAGCATGGAGATAAGCAATCTTTGGGTTGGAGCAGAAACAGTGGAGAACCTGGCCAATTTGCTAGCAGCAGCCACAACATTGTCATTATAGGAGTAGATAGCACCCGCCTTCAAACCTGGAACCGAGAGCTCATTTGACAAACCAAACACTATATGAACTCTGTCCCGGTCATGATCTTCTGCCTCCATGATTTCTGCCATGCTCACAAACTCTTCGTCTCCATAAGAAGAGCCTGCAAACATTTCATTAGAGATTATGTGAATATTCTTCTCTCTAGCAAAGTCCAAAAGATCCAGCAGTGTTTCCCTATTCAACAATTTGCCAGCAGGATTCGAGGGATTGGTCATTATAATTCCACGAACTTTTTGACCACGCTTCTTTGCTTGGTTGAAGGTTCGCTCAAGCGAAGTTATGCTTAAATTGAAGTCATCAGTGCTGCGGCAAGGAACAGGTACTATCTCCACGCCCGTCCGCCACTTTACAACTCCATCAAAGCTGCACAAAGTATTCCAAACTGTCAAAGCAGATAAGGGTTTAAAAAGAAAATCTGCTACCCCTATTGTGATTACAACTTGAAGGTTTTTAAAATCAATTACTGTCACATCATGCTACAAGTAACTTTCTATAATATCAAAGATTGAGACAAAATGTGATTATAACCCTAATTTATAACCTGCAATGTTAAAGAATGCAAATTTGGGTCTATAAAAGTCTACTTATACCAAAGGCAGGATAGCTTGAACTTAAATTTTTTACAAAACTGGAAATCTATTAGGGTGGTAACAATACTCTAGTACCATCTTCCGAAAGTAGATTTAGGTTTAGAATTAGAGTTAATCACCTACACACTGCTACTGGTAACCAATTATATCTTTTAATTGTGTCATGTGTTAAGGTGTGAAGATTGCATAATAGAAGACTTAGGAAGATGAGAGGATTGCACACTGCGAATCACCTGACATGGATTATAAGAAAGGTGTTAGGTTGAGACTCCTTCTTTCCTTGCTTAAAATAGCTTGTCAACATTATGGAAAGCTACGTTCTCCTTTTGGTACAGACACCATACTAAAAGTAAGTTACATCTACAGTCATTCAAATTCTTTTCCCCCATTCATGTAAACATTGGCAACTGAATTTGCTATACTTTTCAAGGTTGATCAACATTCTGTATGGTTTATAGAGCTGTGTTGTGCACATGATTTGCAACATTATTGTGTTGAATTTTAGATCAACTTTCATTAATGCATTTCTTGGAGATGGTATATGTCCTTTCAGAATCACTTCTGTTGACATTATAATTTATATTTGCTCTGCAAATGGCTATTGTGCTCTATTCTTTTTTCTTTGGCTAAAACTAAAATCATGTTGACTATATTTATGATGCCCCGAGATAGTCTCTGATTCTGGGTCATATTGCCTGAATACTATTCCTCATTGAATCAATCACCAATTTGCTATCCTTTTGGGGTTTGTATTTGATACAGGAAACTGATACTCCCGAGTCGGCAGTTGCAAAGCTTTTTGCATCTGCTAAGATGAGTAGCACAGAGTTCCCTCAATATGGGATGCCAAGTCATTGTTTGCAAAGTTTGCCTTCTGAAGAACAAATGAAGGTGTGTATTTAACTCCTGACCCACTTCAACTACAATATTGTTTTTTAGCCATTGCTAATTTTGATTTTGATATAGGCAATGGCTCTTGAGGTTCAAAATCTTCTTGTTTCTGGGAAAAAGAAGGAGGCTTTACAATGTGCTCAAGAAGGACAATTGTGGGGACCTGCACTTGTTCTTGCTTCACAACTTGGCGATCAGGTCAGATATCAAAATTTCACAGTTTAATACTCTGCTGATATTTAATGCTTGGGAAGACAGTCCGTTTGGGTTTTTCAGTGTTTTTCTCATACTTCCATTGTGGGGTGTGAATTATGTCCATATTTGCCTTGCAGTTCTATGTTGATACAGTGAAGCAAATGGCACTTCGCCAGCTTGTTGCTGGGTCACCTTTGCGCACATTATGTCTTCTAATTGCTGGGCAACCAGCTGAAGTATTCTCTACTGATACCTCATTTAGTGGGCATCCTGGTGCTTATATGGCTCAACAGTCTTCACAGGTAATCCTAATAGGATAAAATAACAAGCCATGCAAAGTGTATGCAATCCTGATGTATTGTAACATTGCTTCAATAGTTTAGAAGATATCAGTTTCTATTTGATTTGGAAGCTCAAACGTTTGTTGTTGCTTTGTCATTTAAGGTTGGATCTAATGGTATGCTTGATGATTGGGAGGAAAATCTGGCTGTAATAACTGCAAACAGGACCAAAGGAGATGAACTTGTAATTATTCACCTAGGTGATTGCTTGTGGAAGGAAAGAAGTGAGGTACACTTCTCAATCTTTCATTTATTTTCTTTAATGAATTTTGTAGTTTTCCATTATGCTTCTCATTTAAGACTCTTATTTTAGATTACTGCCGCACACATCTGCTATTTAGTTGCTGAAGCAAACTTTGAGTTATACTCAGATAGTGCAAGAATCTGTCTTATAGGAGCAGATCACTGGAAATGTCCTCGAACTTATGCTAGTCCAGAGGCTATCCAGGTAATTTGGAATCCTTCTAGTTCTAATTTGATTCTTCCACAAATTTGGCTTTTCTGTTGAATGTACATGTTTTGAGTCCTTTTCTGACAAAAATATTGTGTATGCTTTGTCCATCTGCCAAAAAGCTCTCTGTTTCAGACTAGGATGTTTCATATTCTGTACTATATTTGTCTAGATGGTTGAAAGATGGCATTTGCCTTTTCTAATTCTCTCTCTAGTCCCAGATTTATTTTCAAATGAAATGATTTTATTTCATATTCAACCTTTTGTTTCGATAGGTTTCAAAATAACCCATCTGTGTGTTATATTGTGCCACCAAAGGATCTGTTGCTTTTTAGAAAAAGACTTGTTCGATACAATTCAGTATGTTGCATGATGCATTTATTGAATTACTGAAACTTATCTTACCTAATTGGTACTTGGACAGCGGACTGAGTTATATGAATATTCAAAGGTGGTTGGAAACTCTCAGTTTACATTGCATCCATTTCAGCCTTATAAGCTTATATATGCATATATGCTAGCTGAAGTGGGGAAGGTTTCAGATTCATTGAAGTAAGTTCATGTAACATTATTTTAATTGTGATATTACTTTTTATGACCTCTTATTGCTGTTTTTTGATTTCAGGTATTGCCAAGCACTACTGAAATCCTTGAAAACTGGTCGTGCTCCAGAAGTAGAAACATGGAAACAATTAGCATTATCTCTTGAGGAGAGGATTAGAACTCACCAACAGGTACACCCTTGTTCTTTATTAAATCTTCATTTCTTTATTAAATCTTCATTATTAGGATAGTCTTGATACTCATCTTGTTTATTAATAAATGTTCAGGGTGGATATGCTGCAAATTTGGCTCCTGCAAAATTAGTTGGCAAATTGCTCAACTTTTTTGATAGCACTGCACATCGAGTTGTTGGTGGTTTACCACCGCCTGCTCCATCGTCATCGCAAGGAACTGTTCATGGTAGTGAACAACATTACCAACACATGGCACCCAGAGTATCCTCTAGCCAATCAACAATGGCCATGTCATCATTAGTTCCATCTGCTTCAATGGAACCCATAAGTGAGTGGACAGCTGACAATAATAGAATGCCTAAGCCTAATAGAAGTGTTTCTGAGCCAGATATTGGCAGAACCCCAAGACAGGTGCGTGAGTACTATGAAATGTGTATTGTGAAAAAATTTCACCTTCCTCTGCTTGTTTTTGGTTTTATAGTTTTTTGATGGAAAAGTTTTGGTTGAGATGTATTGCAGGAAACAACGTCACCTGATTCACAAGGAAAAACACAGGCATCTGGGGCTACATCTCGCTTTTCCCGCTTTGGTTTTGGCTCGCAACTTTTGCAAAAGACAGTAGGGCTTGTCTTGAAACCTCGCTCTGGTCGACAGGTATAATTATATTTTTTATTTTTTATTCTTATTTTTCTTTTATTCACCAAGGCTATAGATGGCAGCTGGGGTGGTTTGTATAGTGCTAATCCTCAGCAGGGTTTTGACATGTACACAACTGGTACTGCTACTAAAAGAGGGGATAATATAACCTCTGCTGGTAACCAACAAGTTAATCATTCTTTCAGTTCAAGTTTTTCTGTGAACAAAGATCTACAAAATTCTTATACTTCCTTTGGATCAGTTGCTTACAATGAAGTAAACCATCATCATGGTTTGGCTAATGGAACTTTTGAACCACAGAGCTTTGGCCCTAGTGGTGACATTGTTCAACAGTTTAATTATTCAAACACAAAGATCAGTGAACAAAATTTTTTTTCAAATGATTTTACTGAAAATCAAAAGCCCTTTAGTTATTCTCCACAAACAATCCAGGGTGGGGATCAGTATTCACATGCCCCTCATGTTGGGAGATCATCAGCTGGACGCCCTTCTCATGCTCTGGTAACTTTTGGATTTGGGGGGAAACTCATCATAATGAAAGATCCTAGTTTTTTGAGCTCATCCTATGGAAGCCAGGTTAATTCTTGATTCCTCTTTTTAGTTTTGATCTATGCTTTATCTGGTTTCTGAAAGGCTTTGAGGTTGCTTAATATCGATTCCTTTATATTCTCTACTTTCTTACGAGTGATTTAAAAAAATGATTCACACTGTATATTCATTTATATCTGAAGGATTCGGCACAAGGTTCTGTTTCTGTGTTGAACTTGATAGAAGTTGTCACCGGAAATATGGATTCTATCAGCATTGGAAATGGTACCAGTGAATATTTCCGTGCTTTGAGCCAGCAATCTTTCCCAGGTCCATTGGTTGGTGGGAGTGTTGGAAGTAAGGAACTGTACAAATGGTTAGATGAGAGGATTGCACACTGCGAATCACCTGACATGGATTATAAGAAAGGTGTTAGGTTGAGACTCCTTCTTTCCTTGCTTAAAATAGCTTGTCAACATTATGGAAAGCTACGTTCTCCTTTTGGTACAGACACCATACTAAAAGTAAGTTACATCTACAGTCATTCAAATTCTTTTCCCCCATTCATGTAAACATTGGCAACTGAATTTGCTATACTTTTCAAGGTTGATCAACATTCTGTATGGTTTATAGAGCTGTGTTGTGCACATGATTTGCAACATTATTGTGTTGAATTTTAGATCAACTTTCATTAATGCATTTCTTGGAGATGGTATATGTCCTTTCATACAATTAAAAAATATAATTGGTTATCAGTGTAACCTTACACTGACGGTACATAGATGATTAACTCTTAGAATTACTCCCAGTTATGTAGTCAGTATTCTATTTTGATTATATCACTAATGGACTTGAAATTTGTGACAATAACTTCAAGCTTTTTGGAGTGTCAACAAGTGACTGCAATTTAAAACCTTGTGTAGAGCATAAAAAGAAGAGTTGGGAGATGGGAAGAAGATTGTTACCCAGGGCTAAGAGGCGTGGGAACAAGGAATGCATTTCCATGATCTGCTAGGCAGAAGGTTAGAATCTCAATGGCAGAGGTAGCACCTGCGGTTAGTACCATTCGCGAGGGGTTGAAGAAAACCGGTTTTTCCAAAACACGAGACATGAAACGAGCCACAGCCTGCAGGATTAGAGAATTAACAATAGAGCATTTTTGTAACCTTGTTGGAAAGAATCACTTTTATCTTTATCGTAAGAATAAAACATGCAAAGAAGAGAAAGGACAATAGTTACCAGTTTGAGCTCCATGAATCCATGGAGAGGTTGGTAAGGAACAATCCCAGAGACGCTAAGTGGTTTCCCCAGCATAGCAGCGGTTCCGTTGCTGTGAATCCATTCTTGAATCAAGTCGAGAGATAGCTAAAGGCAAAGCCATGAAGAGAGTGAATAAGAGTTTAGTTGGGAAGAGTGAAGAGTGAAGAGAGAAGTAACTACTCACGGTGTTTTGGTCGAAAGCAAGTTGAATAACACCTTGGGGATTATGAGTCTGGTGGTAGGGATCATCAGCGACCCTGTGCAAGCCTAAATAGTAAGGAGAGTTAGCAGCGGTGATGGAATTGGCGCGAGGTGACACGTAAGCAGAGGCGGTGGCGTGGCGGGGAGTGGGAGAGAGAGAGCGGTGGAGGGTGGAGTGGTGGTTGTGGTTAGAGGGAGGGTGGTGATGACGTGTCTTGGTTTTGAACAAGAGTTGAAGAAAGTAGAAGAGTGCACAAGGAATGACAGAACCCCAGAAAAGACCCCCTGTGCCTTGAACAACTCCTTGCAGAGGTACTATCACTCTCATCTCATCGCTCTCTTTTACTATTCCTCTAAAACCATTGGATTCGCTTATGTTAGTGCTGTAATGAATCTGCAAAGCTTCATGGAGGAAACCATCACAATACAAAACAAAGTGTTGTTGTCAGTTAATAGCGTGTGGAGTGTGGACACTCAACTCAATGAATGAATGAATGAATATACTCTAATCTCTTTCTTTTCTTTGGGATATTCTCAGCGCCAAAATAGCCTCACAATTTCTCCCTCCTATCACCTCTCTCTTTTTAAACTCAAATCATTTTACTGCACCACATCATCCATCCACTCTCTTTTTCTTTCTTTCCTTTCATCTTCTTTTTCTAACCAAACTTTTTTTTCATCGACTAAAATGGTTCATAATTAGCGGCAGTATTCAAATTATATATAGTTTTTATAGTTAGACCAATTCGTGTACGTAAGTAAACAAAATGAAATTATCTTCACCTGTCACCTATGCCTTCAAACCTACATTTAACGTATGTAAAGTCGTGTAAGTTATGTTCAAATTACTCGTGTCATAAGTAATGTGGTACAGTCACCCGTTTATTTATGTTTTTGTTTGGATAAGGAATGAAATAAACCAACAAGTTACTGTTAAATATGATAGATATTTATTTTTTCCAATAAAAGCAAATAATAAGAAAAGAGAAAGAAAGTTGTAAAAAGTATTATACAATTTTGAAAAAGTAATAGTATAATATAATACTGGTCATACTTGAAGATAATTTGATAAAATAAAGTTACACATTACATGTGTGGTTTCCCCCTGGTAGCTGTGGTTGCATAGTTCATGCAGTGGCCAACTGGTTTGTGCACCGTTCAATTTGTACGTTGATTAGAAAGAGATAGACGCGACAACGTGCATCAAAGAGTTTATGATGAGGGGTGAGAACAAGGAGCGAAATGAACGGTAAATACGAAGCACAAGTGGAAGTAAAAAAACAAAAGAAGAGAGTGTAATGGCCACTAGCTGACATATGACACAATCAATGCAGTGATTCAGGTAGGAGACACAAAACAAGAACACAATTCAGTGGATGATGGAGCTCGCTCTGCAAAATTATCAAACTTAAGAATCTCAGATACTCCATCATTTCAATCACTAATCATATACTTGTATTCAATATGGAGCCCTTTTTCCATAAACTAGCAAGTTTAAAAGTAAACTTTAATATTAAAAACCCGTGAGTGAGCCTAACATGATCATTATATCATGGCTTAAGATCTATTATACAAAAAAAGAAAACATGGACGTGGACGTTTGCGGTTGAGGCTTGGATGAGAATCCGGTTGCGTCTAAAGTTAATGCTAGCAAACAAACCATCCACCATTGCCAAATTCATGTCTGAAATCTTAATTTTTTTTATACCACACAAATGTTTTAAATATAAAAATGTTTGAGAATTATATATGCCAGTCATATTAATTTTAAAATATTAAATATATTGGTTTCTGATTAATTTAATTTACTCCAATCTAATTATAAAAATTGGAGTGAGTTAAATGACTTAAGAAATTAATTACATTATCATCTAATCATATATTATCATGTACGGTAAAATTATTAACTTTTATTATAAATAATAGTATTGAATTCTTTAATCTAAAAAAATAGTATAAAATTCTTTATAGTGTTACTATATAAAAATCATACTCGTAATTATTCTAAACATGTAGATAATATTAAACAAATTTAAAATTATAAAATAATTATAAGATATAATTTAAACTATTTGTCAATTGTCACACATCTAATAAATTATAAATATCAATTAAAATAAAATGAGTGCCTATTTTAATAATACGTAATTGAGATAATAAAAAAAATATGGAATGTAATACGATCTAATAAAAAATTCAATTTAATCGATATTTAGGTTTGTTTATATATAGTCTATTTGATTAGATTTTTTACATTTTGCGTACAACTGTTAACTGTATAAGGATGAGGGCTTTTTTTTTCTTAAAAGAAAAATATCTCAATTTCTCTCACAATTTAGCCGTTAGATGTAAGATTATTAAATTTGTCATTGATTTCCCGATCATTTAAGTTTTCGCTTCACTTAAATTATTAACCTCCATCTAATAATATTTTTTTTTTTGTATCATTGTGAAAGATAAAAGGCAAAAATACACTAGAACCTAGATGACATAGAGTCCACTCCTAAAGCAAATAAAATAAAATTTGGAAGACTCCATGAAACATTCGAGTTCAAATGTTGGACACCCCACCGTGCTAGAGAATGGGCCACACAGTTGATTTCGCGAGGGATACAAACAAACTCCACCTCCCAAGCTCGGGAACACTGATCCGTTAACCTCTTAATAATATCATAGTATTTATGTCTAAGTTGAGCCCCTTTCCCTAAACTCTTAGCTATATTGATAACACCTAGACAATCGGATTCGCAAATAACCTTCTTACACCCCTCCTTCCAACAAAGCTCAAGGCCTTCGACAACTGCTAGTAATTCTGTCTGGAAGGAATCACCGCCCTGGAGGCCAACTGCAAACCCAAGTTTCCATTGCCCAATTGAATTCCGCACAACACCACTAGACCCCATAGCATTAAGCTAGGGAACAAAACTGCCATCCACATTTAGCTTAACCCAAGATGGTTCTGGGGGACTCCATTGAACGTTTACTTGCCACAATTTACGTTTGGCAAGATAAATCTGGTTTTGCACCTGGGCTTCTTCAATTTGACGATACAAGTAAGAAATGGACCACTTATTACCGGGAAACGTCATGTTATTCCGAAACCTCCAAAGCCACCAAAGTAGGTTAGCTAACACAGCCACTTGAGGATGTAATATGATTGATCGCAGCCATGCTCCACACTCCATCTCGGCAAAGGAAATTTGAGGCGCAAGCCCAGAGTCAAACCACACTTGACGAGAGTGTGGGCAATCTCGAAGGGCATGAATGATAGGGCAGTCTCGAAGGGCATGAATGATGGACTTTGAACTACAGGAACAGCGCGCACAAGCACTAGAGGAAGCCAAATGGCGCCTAAAACGAGCAAGGTTGGTAGGCAAAGCCCCATGCAGCCCTTGCCAAAGTAAAAAGCTAATCTTCACTGGCACCTCCAACTTCCAAACTTTCAGCCAAATCGCATCAGGAGTCAAATGAGAGGCAGACTCCAAAAATTTGACTCCGAACGACACTGTGTAACAACCTGAGGCTTCACCTATCCAAGAAAAAGTATCTCTGCCACTCTGAACCAACAGAACTTGCACCTGTTGAACCCTTATCGCAATTTCAGAAGGCAGTATCGTACTCATTGAGTCAAACTTCCATCTCCCTTGTTCCCAAAAACTGGCCACATTTCTATCTGAGTCAGAAATATGAACGAATTGAACCAGGCGACCCAAGGCTCCTACTCCCAACCAATCATCAAACCACATGGAGGATTGCCCATCCGCCAGACAAACTAGACAAGGCCGGAATCCCTCCCACGGCTTTCCCATTGCTTTCACAATACTAAGCCACACCTGAGAGCTTCCCCTCTGTTTAGTGGCACATAGAATTGACTAACCATTAAGGTACTTATGAGAGAGAAGGCGAACCCAAGGTTTGGTTGGATTTTCAACAAAATCCCACAACAACTTTCCTAATAGTGCAACATTCATAGTACGAGTTTCACGCAAACCCAAACCACCATAATCCTTAGACTTTGTAACTACCTCCCACCCAACATGAGACCAAACCCTTGAGCTGCCATTATTGGACCAGAGCAAGGACCGACATGCATGGTTAACCTTATTGCAAACTGCTGATGGTAGCCAGAGAGAGGGCATGTTGTACACAGGCATTGGTGAGACCGTTGACTTAATAAGGCAAAGCTTTCCCGCCTTATTTAAAAGCTTTCATTTCCAGGAGGCAAGGCGGGCATTGATTTTATCCACTACACCATGAAAATCTGCTATCTTAGGTGACCCTACAATCATTGGCGTGCCTAGATATTTCTTGATCCGAGTAGTGTGACAAATACCAAGAATAGCTTCTAGCTCCTCCACCTGCAATCTATCCACTTTCTTTGAGACCACGAATTTGGACTTGTCCAAATTAATTGTTAAACCTGAAGCCTCAGAGAATTCTTTTAGGACGATGTTCACCAACTCAACCTGGTTCACAGAAGCTTGGCAGAAAAGCATTACATCATCAGCAAAAAATAAATGAGTGAGCTGTAAACCTCCCTGTGATAATGATAAAGGATTCCAAATCCCTGAAAGGTGTAGTTCAGAAATGCGCAGCGCTAATTGTTCCATGCAGAAAACGAAGAGATATGGTGATAGAGGGTCCCCTTGGCGCAAACCACGTTCAGGTACAAAATATGGAAGGGCACCTCCATTCCAAAGAATTGATAAAGTTGTATTCTTCACACCCCACATAATGAGTTGGATAATAACCGGAGGAAACCCAAACCTGATCAAAGTAGCCTCCAGAAACCTCCAGCTCACCCTATCGTAAGCTTTCTCTAAATCAAGTTTCAATACCAGCGAACCCACCCTTGAGTTGTTTTTGTGTGTGTGAGTTAATACTTCTTGAGCAATAATACAATTGTCTCTTGTGCCCCGCCCAGGAATGAGGCTACCTTGAAAAGGGCCAATAAGATCACCCAAGAAAGGTCTAAGGCGAGCTACCAGGACCTTGGAGATAGTCTTCCAGGCCACATTACAAAGGCTAATAGGTCTAAATTATTTCAGAGCGGTGGGGGCCTCTACCTTCGGAATTAGGACAATTTGTGTCTCCAAAAGAGCAGGATCAGAGAATCCAACCTGAAATGCATCACGCACTGTCTTCCACAACTCTTCCCCTACGATAGGCCAATAATTTTTATAGAAAAAAGGTGGAAACCCATCTGGCCCCAGGGATTTAAAGGAGCCCATGCTCATAATAGCCTTGCGTACTTCGTCCCGTGACACAGGTGCCGTCACTTGACGAGGAGAGCCACCAACCATGTCCGTGAACGATGAGCCAGATTCCTCAGAAAATAGATGAGTAAAGAAGCGAACTGCCTCCACCTTAAGAGCCTCCGGTTCAGTATGCCACATTCCATTGGGAAAGAAAAGACCTCTCACCTTATTCCTTCGGCGCCTAGAGAGTGTTTGAGCATGAAAGAACTTTGTATTTCGGTCCCCAAAGCGAACCCACCTCTCTCTCGATTTTTGAAACCAGAGGAATTCCTCCTGAAGCTCCACTTCATTCAACTCTGCTTGGAGCTCCTTCTCAAATCGAGTAAGACTCTCAAGATTTTGATGCTCAAGGGCTAGTTGCACCCCCTTCAACCGAGCTTGAATTTCTCTTTTCCTTGCAAATATATTCCCAAAAACTTCCTTATTGAACTATAGCTTCCTTCTTGATTGCAGACAACCCATTCACCAAGGATGGAGTATTACGCCTCCAAACATTACTAACTAAAGGCTCAAAATCTCGGTGAGTAGCCCAAGCTGCCTGAAAGTGAAAAGGCCGATCAGTCCACTTAGAGCATCTCCCATTCCTTCGGACCAAGATAGGGCAATGGTCCGAGTAGACTCTACAAAGATTTTCAACGAAGGCCTCCGGAAAGGTTATTTGCCATGGTATATCACCCCCCGCTCTATCCAATCTTTTAGCTATCACTGACCCAAGTTGTCTTCGATGCCACGTGAACTTGAGCCCTTTCGCTCCCAACTCTAAGAGACTACAATCTTCCATCATATTGAGTAACTTTGATGCGCACTCCAACGAGAAGATCCCATCACGACATTCTGAAGGAGTGGCAATCTCATTGAAGTCACCCAATACTAACCAAGGCACCGTAACACTCTCTCGTAGGGTTGACAAATGCTCCCATGCCTGATCACGCAGTTTCACTCTCGGACTTGCATAGACTGCAGAGCACACCCACTCACGAGACCCTTCACGAACACAAAACGAGATCACTTGAGCATGTGACGCGACTTCAATAGATGTGGCAGAGCAAGAATTCTCAAACAGAACCCAAATCCCACCAGAATGCCCGATAGCCTCCACTGCATGTTTAAGCTTGTACCCAAGTCGGTCCCAAAAGCTTGCAACTGCTGAGAAACGATAGTGGGTCTCTAGTATAATAAAAATAGAGGGCTTATATACTTTCACCAGCTCTGACAATCTCTTTTTCCCCTTAGCATTAACTGCTCCACGAATATTCCAGCAAATAATGTTAAATATGTCCTCCATAAAAATAAATATATGACTAGGTAGGGAACACCCTAGTTCATCCAACCCTCCGTAGGGGCATCCTGCGTATGTTCTCCAACAGCGTCACCAGCCCGAACCTCATGAGCATCACTCCCATCAGCCATCATATCATCCAAGCTTGATTCCTCCTTTTGAAGAAGGTAATCATGCTCATCAGCATGCAGTGGAGGCATACCATGCACGTATCACCACGTGGGTTAGTCACGTGTCGTCTTTGCTCCTTCTCAAGTCTCCCTCTTTTCTTGTCTTTCCTAATAACCACGTCAGCATCACCAGAATCAATGGCCAGGGACGAGTCAGTGGGCCTCTCCTTATCACCAATATTTTGATTACCATAATTAACCTCACCCACAATTTTTGGAACAACCATATTATTCCTATGAGAGAGTACGATTTTTTCGTGATTCAGCCCACCAAGGTTAACGGATTTATTATACGTGGGAAAATTATCTTTCCAAGCGAATCTCCGAGAATTTTGTTTCTTATTCTTCCTTTGCACAACCAACCAATCACCATGTGGTTTGAGAGACACAGTCTCTCCTTGAATATCTCTATCCCCACTTGACAAGACTACCCCTTGACCTAAACCTGGTGCAGGCTGCTCGGACTTTTCAGCCGCCGCAATCTCCGTCGTGCCATTCTCAAGATGTTGCAGGGGTTGAACTAGAGATGAACAGTTCCTCAACACGTGGCCATAACAACCACAACAGGTACATAGTAAGTGCAAACCCTCATACTCAATGTTATACCAAACACCATTGAGATTGAATTTGCCCACCACAGGTTTATCAAGCTCTATCTCCACACATACGCGTGCAAACCGTCCCCTAGCCATGTTGAGAGTGTTCAAATCCACCTTGATGGGTGTACCAATGGTCGAAGCAATGGTCAAAAGCACACTCTCATCATAGAACATGATACCAAGCCCCGGGAACCGAACCCACACTATAGTCTTCTCAACCTTGGCCCCCGTAACAATAAACTCAGGTGACCACGGACGCACCACCAAATAATGGTCGAAGAGGAGCCAGGGGCCTCCTTGCATGACAGTCTACCGATCTGCTTCCAAATCAAATTTCACCATAAAATACCCATTCGATATATCGAGAAGTTCAAAGCCCCCCTGGACCTTCCACAACGAAGCTAATCTATCTCTCAAGGTAAGAAATCCTACAGTCTTTCCTAAAAGCTTAATCACCAAACAACTTCTCCAAGGAACAGAAAGTTGTTCCAGCACCATCAGAGACAGACTAAACTTTGGGAGCAACCTGTCCCCACCTTCAAAATCCAAGGTCATCTCCCCTTCCTTCAGCAAATTCCTCACGACCCGTTTTGGTGA